AATTGACCTCGTTATACTTCAATTTAAATATTTAAAGTTAATTTTAAAGAATTTGTCAATAAGAATTTCATTTATTTTATTTTTTTCAGTAGTACATGAATGATCCGATTCACCCCGAAATTAGGGGCGAATCGGATATTTCTCACTTTTTAAGTTTTTGTATGTAAAATAAAAAGTTTCATGTTTGTTATTAATATTCTTAGTTTACACGCAAGCCAAATGTGTACTAATTATGAATTCATGTTAAAAATTACCAATATATGTATTCGACTGTTAGGTTTTGGTCATTAAACAAAAAGTGATCCGATTCGCCTCGGTCTACCCTACTTTTTGTTTAGGATTATATCAAATTAAACTGATACAATTATAATTGTTAAAGCGACTCATCGCACTTTGTGTCGTCGATGAAAATGCTTTTTTGTTATAAGAAAAAGAAGAAGAAGAAAAAAAAACAAAAGCTCCGAGTTAGGAGTTTTTATCTCAAAAACATTGTTTTATGTCAACCACTGTATCACACCTAACCGAGTACTTCTGATGCGACGTCTCATCTTTATGAGTTCTCGACGTTATTTTCGAGCGAGATCCGCTGTTGTTCTCTAGGTGATGAAATTCGAGTAAAAATTAGATTCGCGACACGTGGCACGCGCCACCACGGCCTACGATAGCCTTTAGTGGCGAACAATCGGGAATATAGGTCTGACCGAGCACTTAGCGGGTAATTGAGCAATTTTCTCCAAGACGGGTGTAAGCGGGGGAGTTGGAACGTGAGATAGCAAAAGAGAGACATAGAGAGAGAGAGAGAGAGAGAGAGAGGCACCCCCGAAGGAGGGAACAAATTTCTCCTGGGTTCCTTACATAGCTCGCTCGAATCTAAAGACGTCGAGGCGGTCTCGTCTTCTATGTGCCTCCCACCTTCCTCTCATTCTCCCCTCGATACCTCCTTCTCGGTTGCTGCCAAGGAGACGTCTATGTAACTCGGTTAGCCCTTCCTACCTTCCTTTCGAACGAAGCCATCTTGTACGAAGACGAACAACTTAAAACAAAATACTGGCATGTAGAATTGCGAATGCTACGGACCTAACTATTTAAGTAACTTAAAATGCGCATTTGATTCCGCGAACATCAAGATAATCCCGCCGAGGTAAAATTTTATTCCGTGTGCATATCTGCTGCCTGTACAATAAAACACAAATCTGTAATATGTAAGCGAGATAGAACGATGGAAGAAGCAATCGTTTGAAAAAAAAAATCACCACGTACCGCTAATTACCGCAATAATATATTATTATTGCGGTAAACAATTTTTTTCTCTATACAGTCCACACTTGTATTTCGAGATCGCGGAAAAATCTCAAGTAAGAATTGCAAAATAATATTATTTTGCTCGGCTGTGTGCGAGCTTCGCGTGTGCGTCGGGGACGCTGAGCGCGTTTCAACGTGCAGCGCGGTATATATTACAAGCTCGTTTGTTCTTACTTCGATGGAGTCTCTTGTACGCATTTGTGTACAACGTAACATGTGCGACGTCCTCGCGCGCGGAGCAATTGCGGTAACGTTGCAACAACGGAATGTGTAACTATTACTCAACAAACGGGTGTATATATACGCCTGAACCGAGCGGCAAATACCGTTAATGATTATAGTTCCTCGCAACGTAACCACGGTTACGGTCTGGTTAGTTAAGCCGAACTTGCCTAATTTATTGTCAGCGGTATTTTGGTTGCATTATACAGATATCGCCCATTAGCGTGACAACGGGGAAGTATTTAACGACAACCGACGTTATAACGCGCTGTCCCGCGCGCGCGTCTCTCGCATCGCGCTCGTCGGGACCAGATTAACCGATAACTATAGCCCCGGGGTTAATCCCGTCGACAGCTGATGCGTCGTGTCTCCCTCCCCCCCCCCCCCCGTATCGACACGATCATTTTGCAGTTTGTTTAAAATATATTTATATATATCAAATCGGCACGCGGACCAACAACGCCACGCGGACCAACAACGCCACGCGGAGCGCGGTGTACGGATATATTTTGCCCGTAAGGATTTCTCTATTTTTTTTTGGGGGGGCGGGAGGGGGTTTTCTATCGCGAGACAGTAGTAGGACACACTGCTAGTGTCATGAATTATCGCTCATATTTAGAGCACACTGTCATTAATCCGAGTTAATTAACTCTGCGGTGCGGGAATACTGCTCGCAGCTGTTTATCCGGTTTATCGAAAAGTCGATACGCGCGTATTTCATTTAGCGATGATTAAATTACGCGTTGCTTGTCGAAGAGGCTGGCTGATGCTCGCAATGTGAATTTCCGTGGAGGTAACGATATGTAGCGCGTGCATGCACACACATTTTCATCGGCGCGCGACGCGTCCAAATTTTAAGCATTACCATTAACATGTAATAATGCTGTAACCTTCGTTACAGCAGCGGAACCCGGGTTCCCAAATTCATTTCCCCATTTCGCTCGTGAGATCGCGCCCGTAACGTCGCGCGACAGTTGAGCGATGTATTTATTTTATAGCTTATGCGTCGCATTATAAACACATTTTATTACATTGAACATTTTTCGCCAATTTATATTATTTTCGCTTTATTCTCGTCGTTTTTAATGTGACAATTTTTTTTTCTTTTTTTTTTTTAATTTTATTTTAATATCCGGTTTCATCTCGCGCGACATTCGCATTTTCGATATCAGCAATCAGAAAAGCAACTACCCACCTATGTAATTACTTTTATATAATTATATATATTTACATTGTGTAGGAGAAGTATTTATACAATGTGATAAACAATTTTATTGTATTTGTGACAGATAATAATTTCCAAAATAAAATAACGCGAGTAAAAATAAAATGTGATAATTTTATTTTTAATAAATAATTTAGGACGAATTTTTGTAGAGACGTTCGCGTACGCCGCGTGTCACACGGAAGAGTAACATTTGCTCGCCCGCTTTATTGCCGCACGAGCGTTTTTTTTGTTACATAAACGTTCCGTGACGTTGAAGAAATTCGAATCGTGAGATTTCGTCGACGGAACTGTCGCGAAGAAAATAACGGACTCACCGGCGGGCGATGTCACGGCGATCGATTGTTGCCCCGAATTGGAGTTGCCACCGCTGCTCGTGTTGAGCTTCCTCAATTGCTTCTTGTGCTTCATCCGCCGATTCTGGAACCACGTTTTCACCTGAGTCTCGGACAAGTGTAACGCGGCCGCGAGTTCCACTCTCTCGGGCGTGCTCAGGTATCTCTGCACTTCGAACCTCGCTTCCAAACCCGCCAGTTGTTGGTCGCTGAACACCTGAAATTTTCAAAAAGACAAACTGTTCAGTCTTCTGCCAGTAATCAGCTGCTGCTCGCGATTCTCCGTTGTTTTCATTATGAAAGTAGTATCTCGCGCAAAAGAGATTTTTTAAACGAAATTTGGCAAATTTGTCCGAAAATCTTGTGACATTCGCGAATCCGAAGATCAAACACGTACGATGCAATTATCGCGCATAATTTTTATTTTAGTATGTAATGTTTATAATAAATACACTTCAAGAATATGCTTGCGCGCGATGAAAGAAAGGTGTCTGTAAGATATAAGGAGCATAAGAGAGGAAATAAGGCTCGCGGTTGATGCGGTCAAACATTTAAATCAATTCAAAAAATCAAATTCAAAAATCGGTTTATCTCAGTTTCACGAGACTGCGCACAATAAAATACACGTTACTTAATTTTTTAAATTAGGATAGAAAATTGTCACATGTACTCTGCGTGGCGCTCGCTATAACAGTTAGTCAGCCAATGAAATCAATGGAGAACGCGCGAGAGCAAGTGGAGAGGGCGTTGAAAGATGGTCTTTCATTGTTACTAAATAATCGCGTGCGATTTCATCGCGAGCTGTGAAACGAATCTCGGATCGAGCGGATCTCGTTTGCAAATTTTTTGTTAAATATCTGATTCCGAGTAAGGAGGTGGAGAGAATTAAATTTTCTTCAACAAAAGAATTTTGCGATTATGTGAGAAAGGTGAGAAACTCACGGTTCGAGCCTTCCGCCGTCGACAGTGCTTTAAGGCCGCCAGTTCGCTAACCCCCGGTACCACACCGACCCCCATTCCGGCGCTACTGAAAAGCGGGCCCAAGAAGAAGGCCGCCGCGGCAGGCGGCGCCGTGGGATAGCCCGGAAGCAGACTTGCGAATTGCTGATACTGATGATGCTGCCCGTGTCCGGAGGTCGACGTCAGGTGCTGATGATGCAACGGATGATGGTGGGAATGTGGGGTGACGGTGCCGCGGCTGAGGATATCCTCGATAAGGAACGACGTCCTGCTGGCGGAAGTTCCGTTCTGACCTGGCTGCGCTTGTTGCTGCTGGCAGGTGGACTGCATCTTCTTTCCCTATCGTTTGGACCCGCGACTCGTTGCGACTACGACATAAGCGTTGCGTGGATTGTTTCACATTCTTATACCCCGGCGTTATAAACTTTTCGGCTACGCCAAAGCGACGATGCGAAATTCTGTTACGAAGCGACGCGCGCTTTTCTTTTTTTTTTTTTTTTTAGATCAAACTTTCATCAACTTGCACCACCTCGGAGTAGAAGCTTTTTCTATTTCTCTCTCTTTTCTCTCGGAGCGCTTTAAAAATACAGCATCATTTTATCTCGTCTTTCTTCTTCTGTGTATGTGTCTTTCCTTTTGAGAAATAACAACGTAATCTCCAACGAAATCCTTTGGTCGAAGACGAGAGAAAGAAAGAGAGAGAGAGAGCACAGCCTTTTCGTTCAACAAAAGATACGGACAAACGGAACAAGGTGTATCACTACTTTCGGAAAAAAACGCATAAGCCACTTTTCTTCCTTCCGTCGCGCGTAGGTAATAAGTAGCGCAAGATCCCACGTCTGAAAAGTCTCGGTGTCTGCTGGGCTTAGACTAATTAGGACGACGCTTATCTCGCGAACAGAAGGAGGAGGAGGAGAAGGATCCTCCGTGTGAAATTTAATTTCGATCGCCACCGATCTTAACGAATCGATGCGAATCGCGAGAAACGTCGACTTCGACTGTCGATCAACCGTTATTCACCGACGTGTTAAGGGAGTATCGGTGCGCGCGATGCGACACAGGAGGCACAATTCAACCCCTGCGCACGATCACCACCGCCAACCCCTCTCGGCCGGCACTTACCACTGCTAACCCCTCGAGAGGAAGGGGCTGAAGCCCGAACCGATGACGGCCGTTCGAAAACAGGCTGGAACATCCGTATTGGTTCGTACGCTTGCGTCGCATCCCGATTGGTCTGGCAGAAGTTCTGGGGCGTGACCGGACCGACCGTTGCCATGGTCGCTCGCCGCGGGTATTCATGAACACGGGTGTCCATGTACGGAGGATCACGGCGGAAGGTGTGGGAGGAGGGTCCGGGATCCTTCCGCATTTGCGATTCTCTCCATTCTGTCGCACTCTTACACGCAGGATAATAATGGTGCAAGTACATGTATATATATATATGTATGTATATATATATATATATATGTATATGTATATATATATATATATGTAAGAGTACGTATCGAAAAGCCTCACTTGTGCGACCCTTACTTGATATGGCCATCCGTTGTACGATCGCGGTGCCGGTCGGTTGCGAGTATTCCGCTTTGAAAAAACAGCGTCGGCTCGTCGCCGTCATCTCTTTATCGCGTACCGCGGAAAAGTAACAGTTTCAATTAAAGTTTTTAATCAGACGAGATAGAGAGTGTGTTATACATATACGGGGGTGTATTACACGTACAGTGATACGCGCACGGTTGATAAAATGACGACGCTTCGACCCCGGGTCAAATCTGATCATCCCGTGCGTCTCGTGCGCCGCTCCCGTATCGTCAAACACAGTCAAGTTCTCCCCGCATGGTCGATATCGCCGCTTCGCGCTGCTTTCGTCCGTATCGGTATTGAATCTTCGAGGGGAAGGGAGGACGAGCAGAAACGCCGGATTAAATTACTTATCGGATCATGTATACGCGCGGCGGCGCGCTTTCCAAATGGCAGTACACGCGCGTGCGGCGCGACCTGGGTCGCCGTCCATTTCTATCTGCAAACGATATAAACAAAAAAGAAAAGGGTACACAAGTAGCAAATACATGTAGCAAAAACGCGATGTGAAACTCAATGCTCGAAACGCAAAGTTTGTTAGATTATTTTTGAACGATAATACGTGAATTTAGTTTTTTTTTTTTTTATGTCAAAGGGACATACTCTGCAAACGTTTTCAAGAAAAAAAAAAAAAGAACGTTTTACTGATCGAGTAGTGATAGTGTATTTCGGTCTTTCGTTAATCTTCTTTCTCGACCGGCTTTTCGATCTCCGCCGGCCGATATATGATTAGGGTCGAGGGACCGACGCGTGCCGACATTTAGACGGGGTTGCTTCTGCGATTATTGAGTAAATTAACGTCGCGGTAATTGCGTTACCGGGCGCGTGTCCATCCATGCGTTTGGTGTGTCCGCTTGCGCGTCGTCGCTCGACATCGCTTGGCACGTCGCGTCACCTCTCGCCCTCACCTCTCGTTCACCCTCGACGCATTTACGACGAGGCAGGGCCGCCGCCGCATTCTGCGCCTTCTGCTCGTTGTAAAGCCGAAAATCCAACGTCGATTTCGAAACGCGCGTTTTTTTCGCGCGACATTCGAGTCCTCCCGGTGATCCTTCAGGAACTCGTTGGGAAGCGGGAGAGAGCGGGAAACGGAAATCGCGTCCAATTTCTACAAATACTTTATTACCGTGAGATGACTTGCATGGCACGAGGCGTTTACAGACTGATACCGACTATGTATGTACAGTTATAGTTTTGTCCGTCTATAAGGTCGCTGAAAAACTAATTCAATAAAATACAACAAAGAAGAAAATCGCTTCACATTTGAAAACGTCGCTAGACTAGATATAAGTTGGCGCGTTGGTTCGCATTATGAATTCTGTCGCAACAATTAGCGCGCTGTATACTCAATATACAGTACTGTGAGAGAGATACTGTGTCTTACTTTTTCTTGGAATAGCAAGCATTAAAAAAAAAAAAAAAAAAAAAATAGCATACAAATATACAACATTTAAAAAAAAACTATGTACTAAAAAAAGTATATTTAAAGTATATTAAGTATATTTAAAAATCGTCGTCGTTAGACGCGCGTTTGTAAAAGGCACGGGAAAAGCTCGCGGGACCTTGCGAACCGCAGAAGAAGAAACCGCGTCGCCATAAGACGAAGATCGCCAGACAAACCGGAATTGCGAGCAGTATACCAATCAGCACTCCTATAAGTATCGCGGCGTCCTTTTCCGGTTGCGCACCGTACAAATCCAAACACCGCAGATGCCGTTTAGCCAGAGATGTGAGCTTCTTTCCTGCGTGTTCCGGCGGCGCGGAACAGGTAAGCTCGTTGATCGCATCAGGTCCCATTAGTTTCTCTCCGAATTGCGGCAATACATGATCGATCTACAAGAAGAAATTAGCACAAATATTCTCTCTCTCTCTCTCTCTCTCTCTCTCTCTCTCTCTCTCTCTCTTCGTTAACTAAGCGATAGCGGTGAGCATCCTCACTATATTATAGAGTTTACTGGTTCAGAACTTACGAGATATTGGTTATTGCAATCGCAACTCCAATTATTGTGCGTCAGATGCAATTCCTCGAGCTTGTCCCATCTGCCGACGAGTAACATCGGTAAATATTGGAGTGAGTTGGATGTTAGATCCAGTTTCTTCAGCGGAGGCCACAGTGCGCCCGTGACCTGTGACGTTGCAAAAACGACTTGAAACTAAAAAATTACTCGCGTACCAACACGGTAAATCACCAAATGTGAAACTATATATTACAGTCTCACTAGACATACCTTCAACGACATCGCGTAATCGTCTATTTTTACCAGTTTCTCGCAATGATGCATGTAAAGATTCTCCAGGCCGATCAACGCGGACAAACCGCCATTGCCGATCTCCGTCAAATTCGCCATGTAGCACAAACTGAGTTCCTTCAGCAACGTCAAGTTCGGAAAACCGTTCGTGTGATCGATAACGCGTATTGGATTGAAATCTAAACGGAGATACTCCAACTCTTTGGCATCCTCCAGCGAGGTCGGCACGGTTGTGAATTTATTGTTCGCCAAGTTCAATCTCTTCAAGTATCTAGACAAAAAACGATCGAATCTCTCTTGAGAAATGCAGTGTTTCGAGTGTTATGCAATGTGCATGCGAGAAACAAAAAGTCGAGAGAAGCTCTATATGACGGCAAGACAATGATGGTTTCGCTCGCCTTTCGAAATTTTCTTACTTGGCGTTGTGAAATTGAAGACTCAGGTTTTTCAAATCGCAATAACTGATATCCAAGTCCTCCAGATACGACAAACTGCTGATCGCTATGGACGTGCGATAATCGAACACGTTGAAAGGATTTCCGGAAATATTCAGCACCTCGAGGCTTGGAAGATGTTCGAATATACTCGGATGTAACCAGTGGAGTAAATTACCGGCCAGGCTCAAAGTTTTCAAGTTTGACAAGGGCTCGTACGCATTCGGTGAGAACTTGCCCTAAAACGCGGAAATTTGTATGATTTCATTCAAAAACTCCGCCGAGCATGGCGAATAAATGAAATTTTCTTATTATTGAAATTTTTTATTCATCGCTTTTTTGCGTTTGCGACTGTTGACGAATAAAACAATAACGTCGCTATATATTTTTGTTGAAGTAAAATCAAAAGAACTCTCGTTACTGAATAATCAAAATGTTCGAAAATTACTATAAAATCGTGCGTGTGTTCCAACGCATCTTAAAGTTTCTTCCTCGGTCGATGAATCCCAATTAGAGAAAGTTAACGTTCGGTTTCTTGGTGAGATTTTGTGTGTCATTGTGACAATCGCTTACTGTTCTCCGCGACTTGTGTTTTTTCTTACCTCGAAAATATGCGGCGAGAGATATTCCGATTTGAGCTGATTGTGACTCAGATCAAGTTCGGTGAGATTAACGAGCTCTTTGAACGCTTGATTGTCGATTCTCGATATCTGATTCATTCGCAGAATCAGTTTCTCCACAATTATCTTCGGAAAAGGTGTGACGTGTACCAAGCGATTATGTTCGAATGAAATTTCCGTGACCGTCACATTCGACCACTCACTCTCCTCGAAGTGATTCTCCAAGCTCCGATTGCTGCAGTCGATGTAGCCATCTACAAGTACGTTGTTTATTTATTGATTTATCTTTGATGTAAATAATTGTATCAATTTGCATTTGTTTTTTTTTTTTTTTTTTTTTCAAAAGACGGCATACTAGTAATTCTCCTTTCTCAAATTGACACGCCACCGCCATTTCTCTGAATTAATTTATTAAA